TCAGGTGTGAGATGGCTGAGTACAGCTCCTACGCCATAAGGGGAAGCATCACAAGCAATGCACACAGGGAGTGTTTCATTAAAATGTGCAAGCACATTGTTAGATGTTAGCAAGGCCTTAACCTTATTGAAGCTTGCTTTGTGTGCTTGTGACCATTCCCACACAGCTTGTTTGTCAAGAAGTCTATGAAGTGGTTCAGCTACATCAGCCTTGTTAGGAATAAATGAATTGTAGAAATTCAAAAGTCCCAGAAAAGCTTGCAGTTCAGCTTTGGACTTAGGTCTGGGAGCTTGTGTGATAGCTTCTAATTTGGACTCAGCAGGATGAATCCCATTGGCATCAATTCTGAACCCCAGAAAATCTGTAGAAGACACCCCAATTTTACATTTGTCCTTTTTAGTTTAAGTCCTGTTTTCCGAAACCTCAGCAGGACAGCCCTCAATCTTTCAGCCAAATTTTGGGTAGACTCTCCAGCAATTAAGACATCATCAAAATAGGGGCAAACCCCTGGAATACCCCTCAAGGTATTTTCCATTACTCTTTGGAAAATTCCAGGAGCTACGTTTACTCCAAATTGCAGTCTCTTGACCTTGAATGCCCCCCTATGAGTTACAATGGTTTGTGCCACAGCAGCAGCTTCGTCCACAGGCAACTGTTGGTAAGCCTGAGCTAAATCAAGCTTTGCAAAAATACGCCCCCCTTTGAGGGAAGCCAGAATGTGGCTGACAATAGGCACAGGATAGGCATGTTGTTGTAATGCCTTATTGAGCGTGCATTTGTAATCTGCACAAATGCAAATATCCCCATTAGCCTTAAGAGGCGTTACTATGGGAGTTTCCCATGGACTGGAGTCAACAAGTTCTAAAACTCCTTGCTGAATCAATTTGTCCAATTCAGTATCAATTTTCCCTTTTAAGGCAAAAGGTACCCTTCTTGCCTTTACTCTGATAGGAGTGACAGTTGGGTCTAATTTCAGAGACACTAGGGGACCCTTGTATGTGCCCAACTGAGGGCTGAATACATCTGCAAATTCCTTGCAGACTTCCTATAAGTCTAACGTTTGCAGGCTGTTGAGCCCTGTAACTTGTATTCCCAGGGCCTCAAACCAATTAAGTCCTATGAGACTCGTACGATCACCCCCCATTACCAATACATCTAGTGCACCTTCAAAATCCTTATACTGCACGTTAAGGGTGGCCTCCCCCTTAACACACACTTTGGAGTTTTGAAAGTCTGTTAGTACTATGTTAGAAGGCCTAAGCTTGGCCTGGAAACCACTACCAGAACAAATCTTTCTGAATGTGTGAATGGAGATGATTGAAAGTGCAGACCCAGTGTCTAGTTCCATGACCAATGGAACTCCTTGCAATTTCACCCTAAGTGACAGCTTCTTTTTAAGTGGTCTGTGCGTGCCTGTCTTAAAAATGCTTCTTCGTGAAGCACAGAAACCCACCGTGTTTTGGCTGGGGACCCTGGTACCTTTCAGGCGCAATTCTTCTCGGGGTTGTACCTTTTGTTGGCCCAGACACACAGCTGCTATGTGGCCTTGCTTCCCACATGCTCTACAGATTGCAGAACGGAACTTGCAGTCGGTCCTCTTGTGGCGACTTCCACACCCGAAGCACTTGGGTACAGGTGAAGACTTTTCTTTGCCTTCTTTGGTTGGGTAGAGATGTCTATTTCTTCATCAGGCTCCTCTTCTGAGCTTCCTTGAAGTCCCTCGTCATGCACGGAAACAGCTTCTGGAAAGCTTTTGATGGGCCTCATATTTTTGATTGCCCCACTTGCTGCCTCTTCTGCAGTAACCTCTCTCAAGGCATCTTGGAATGATATGTCCTCTTTGGCAAAAAGCCTTTGTTGTACATCTCTGTTTCTCAGTCCACATACAAGTCTTTCTCTCAGTCTTTCCTCTAAGTCTTTAAATTCGCTTAGCTGCCTTTCTTAATGCAGCAATGTACTCTTTAGCTGATTCACCAGCCCGTTGATCCCGCTGTTCAAAATTATGTCTCCAAGCAATAACAGACAACTTGGGTTGAAAATGCTCTTTCAGTAATTTCTTAAGATCTGTGTAGGTAACAGATTCAAGAGGTGCAGGGGCTACTAAGTTTTCAGCAATTTCAAATGCATCTTGACCACAAACGCAGAGTAGTGTGGCGGCCTTTAAGCCCTCTTCTCTTACTCGATTAACTCTGAAATAATTTTCTGCTCGGGCCACGTAAGATTCCCATCTTTCAGGATGTGTAATATCAAACTCTGAAAGTTTTCCAATCTTTGCCATTTTAGTAAAGCAGGAAGGGTCTATCAGCCAGCTTACCTCCAACGAAGCTGTATTGGCAGGCAGTTGCTGAATTTAACGCCGTTTCCTCGCTGTGCTGGACTCCAGGGTAAGCTTACAATTATTTGCGTAATTGCAAGGCGATCCCACCTTCATCGCCAGTGTTGAGTCCTCGGCTAATGGCAATGACGACACGAGACATTCTTGATGTTCAGTAACCTTCTTTATTTCTCTTCAGCAGCCCCGTTACAACTCAAGGCAGCATGGACTTCTCAGCCTCTCTTAAGGACGTTTTTCCCCGGGCCAAAAGGCAACATTTAGGTGCGCGAAACGCCTCGCGCATGTGCGTGAGTGCTGGCGCCAACCAGTCTGGTCCCACTGCAACGTCCCAAGCCTGCCCTTTTGCAGGCTCAGGACATAACAAGGTCTAAATTCTAAAACTCATTCCACGGAACCTACAGTTCTGTTTTTCTAATAGTAGAGAGCATATGTAACACAAGGTTGAACTGTTAGCTTCTTGGTGTTTTCCAAGTTTGGCTGTTTTCCCATAGATGTTTAATTACCAAGCTAAGTAACATCATCAGGACATGGGGGAATAATCTTGCTGGTTAGTTATACCATGTATAGTAGGTTATCAGCAAACCTCACTCTTCCATGCCCTCATGTTACCTAACCTGCAAAAGAAATTTCTGCAAGAAAACAACCTAATTTAGAGAATACCAAGAACCCAACTGTTTAGTGTTCATTCAAAATCTTTCCTTTTCAGAGATTCACATCCTCAACACTTAAGATAAACTCAACTCTGTAACTTACTTTTTCAACTCATTCTCATATACACACTGAATTGAAATATCACACTTCGATTTTAGCATGGCAGTTCATAAAACAGGACTTATTGCTTACCATGTTCAGAACACAGTTACTTGTGGTATATTCCACAAATCATTTAAGACTTAATGCAATATACATACCTTACCATACATTGATATTGTCTAGTCAAGCAAAAGGAAATCAGGATTTTTCTGATTTTTATTGCTACCTTACTCATTTTTTTCCTGAATGGTGAGGTTTTCATTTCTGATCACATTTGTTCTTTCTCCCCCTTCTCCTACCCATTATGTTAAATTGTCTTCAATCCACTCCTAGCCTGTCTACTTAGTGTTTCCACATTATTAAGTCACATAAACCTCTACTAGTTTTCCTGCTAGTAGGCCAGAACCCTCTACTTTACCAGATAAATGAATGTAATCTGCCCACATCCTGCTTCAAAAGGAAAAAGAACTGGCACAGGTAGTCTTTGATTTAATGACCACAATTGAGTCCAGAATTTCTGTTGCTGAGCGAGAGAGTTAAGTGAGCTTTGCCCCATTTTACAACTTTTCTTGCCAGAGTTGTCAAGTGAATCACTGCAGTTGTTAAGTTAGTAACCTGGTTAAGTGATTCTGGCTTCCCTATTGATTTTGTTTGTCAGAAAGTTATCACATGACCCCAGGACATCCATTATAATAAAGATGTGTTGACTGCCCAGACAAGTCCCCACAGTTTGCTTGGAAAGATTTCAAAAATCTTCACCTTCTTCCTAGGACCAAGAGAAAAGACTGGCCCAAAGTGATCCAACTGTTTTTATCCACTGGCAGAACTAGAGCTCATAGTCTCCCAGTTATAAGCCTGATGCCTTAACCACTACACCTAGCTATCTCTCAATAAAGATTGCCAAAGACCCATATTTTTTCTTAACTGCTCCCTATTACAATATATACAAGAGCCGAGGTGGCGTAGCAGTTAGAGTGCAGTACTGCAGGCCACTTTAGCTGACTGTGTTCAGCAGGTCAGCGGTTCAAATCTCACCGGCTCAAGGTTGACTCAGCCTTCCATCCTTCCGGGGTAGGTAAAATGAGGACCCAGATTGTTGGGGACAATGTAAATATATATATACATTGCTTACTGGTGTACACCGCTTAGAGAGTGCTTGCACTTAAAGCGGTATATAAGTCTCATAAAATAAATAAATAAATAAATATCTTTCTAAATCAAACACATTAATCTTCACAACATTTCAGGGACCAACATCATATTGCTCACTCTCTTATTGTTTGCAACTAATATTACGGTCACCTTTCAGGGTTAAGTGCTCAGTGACCTAACCCAGATGAAATAGCAAAAGCTTCTATTTCCTCTACACATTCTGAAATCTGGTTTGAAAGAGCTGCTCCTCACCCAGATTAATCTTGAAATCCTGTGAGGCAGGGCACTGGTTATCTAGAATAGCCACTCCTTATTAAAACTGAAAGTAATTCCCCTTAAATACTTAACAAAGGATTAGTGAGGAAAAGTGTTAGCCTGCTTTTTTAGAGAGCAAGTTCTAGAACATAAATTACACAACCAAAGCTGATTTTTTTTTTTTTCTTCACGCCCGGAGACTCCTCTATCAATCAAGCAATCAATCAGATCTCAAACCATTGTGGTCATATGTGGATAGCCACGGCTCTCAGAATTTCTGCGTCTCATCAGTTGAGATATACTGCATTTGCTGGCAACAAAGAGGCAGGCGGAATAAACCGGGAAACCATATTAAAATGCTTTAGAGCCCGCAACTGCAATCCTCACAATACTACACCCTGTACTGTAACGAGGAGGACATAGTAAGAAAAAAAACACATGTCGCCACGTTAGGAGCCAAGGACCCCCCCCCATTATCGTTTAAAGGGGTAAAAGCTAACTTGACCTAACACACGAGGCAACTATAACCGGCGTTGTGTCTCCGTACTCCGTAGTTTTCGGGGACAAAGGTGAGAGAATCACCCTCGAGAAGACGCCTGAACGAAGCTCAAAGGTGGAACTGATAAAAGACCCGAAATGTGAGCGTCTCCCTCTGCGCAGAAGCAAGGAAAGGGGGGGGCGATTTCTGCTGCGCGGGGGCAAGGGCGGGAAGTGGGCGGGGAAGCTGCGGATGATAAAGAGGGGGCGTCGCGCGTTCTGTCAGTTGCATCGCAGGACTTCGTGCGACGTCTGCGCAGCTGATTGGTTCCGGCGCCGGCTCTAGGCCAAGCGACTGGAGCTTTCCTTGACGGTTCGTGAAGCGGCTGCGATGGGCTCTCGGGCGTCTACGCTGCTTAGGGACGAGGAGATCGAGGAGATCAAGAAGGAGACGGGCTGTGAGTACCGATAGAAACAATTAGTGGCGGCAACGCCGGCCGATGCAAGGCGCTGACCTTCGCCTTTGGGATTCTGGCCGGGCGAATTTGCTTTCCTTCGTGGTTGAATAGCTTTCACTGCCCCGACACGAGCCCTTCCGCGTTTTCCTCGGACGGAGGGGGCCGGATTGAGCGAGGTGGCGCTGATGATTTATGCCGGTCATGACCATCACTCCGCTCGAAGCCCTTCCACGGGTCTCTGGGTCACCTTGGCTAAGTGCGGCGGGGCTACCCAGCTGCCTCTCCCGCTCCCTAGCCTGCGCCCTTTGCTCGACAAGGGCCGGTATCGGTCGTCTGAGTCGGCGCGACCCACAGCATCCAAAAGCCCTGCTCATACGGAACAACGAAGTGCCTTCGTATGCCTTATGACACAGGACACCGGGAGAGCTTGGCATTTGGGGAAACGATCCTCTTTTGCCCCACTTGGGAGACGGCTAGAGGACTGTGTTAAAATGCATCCCCGGGCCTTGAGTCGGCAGAAAAGTTATGCCGGCAGGAAATTGGTGGCTCTGATGGTCATTCCCTATTTTGCTTCAGTGGCAGGTCTTGCTGAATGGGACTGTCCTTGCCATTTTCATGTAGTAAAACAAGTTAAGAAAACCAATTGGTGGATCCCTCTTGCTTCATTTCCTGCTTTATCAAGTGTCGCCTGCCTGTGGGAAAAACAATCGGTGATCACTTTCCTTAATAGGGAGAGGAGCAGGATTGTGCAAATATAGGTGGGTGCTTTAAACAGTGAGTTTCACACCAATTAAATTGCCCAACTACCGGGTCCTAGGCATGGGAGTATTTTGAACCTGTAAAGTTTCAGTCAAATCAATTCTAACCACAAGACTTGAAAGAGCACTACACCTGTGTCCAAAAATAGCCTACCTGGCAAGTCACAGGTGCAGAGAGGAGGCTCACAGCAAAGCAGGAGGGAATTCTTCTGGTGCTTCTGCTCAGAACAACCTCACTTCTTGCCTGGGGCTTGTTATCAGATAATTTCTAAATATGGGCTACTGAAAGATCAAGCCAAGAGATTGGAGACAGAGCAGATGGCTGGCATAAGAATGAAAAAAATGGTACTGCTCAGGAAAAGATAAGCCACATAAGAAGGAATTGGGGGAACTGTCTGAGAAAGTTGTAAATGTGGAAATTGCCTGAGGATGACCTGGAAGCCAAGGACAAATTGAGATGAAAAAAAGTATGAGAAAAGATTAATGTTTTCATACATGCCCTGTATAAAGGTGCTGTGATGATTTTGTATATAGGGCATTTCCAGCAATTTAAAGTGGACAGAGTGGAAGATAGGAATGGCCAATGAGAACATGAACATCCAGTAATCTCCATGCAATGCCTCTTTTTCCTCTCGGCAGACCCAATCCATTTGTAATTGCTTTGGATTTCTGGGCTGGGTTCCAAGCAATGGAGGGGGAAAAGTCTCCCTATCCCAGCAAATAAGGGAAAGGTCTGATGCAATGATAGTAAGCCAAAAGAATGCTGCGGCTTCCATGTTCTTTTTGCCTTCTGATGTGAGGAGCCTGGAATTCAGAAAGGGGTGTCTGCCAGACATTTCCTTTCTTTCAACCCTCCCCATATGAAAGTTCTGGTGATAAACAACAATAAAGTTGTAATTAAAATGACTTTCTGTGCAACAAAGAACATTGTGTTCTCTCAAAGGGAATTCAAGTCCTGTTTTGTAAGCACAGGTCTAATTTTTTTTTTTCTAAAGAGGATTACATTCTTGTATATAAGGATCTTGTGTGAGATCCCACAAATGTTTGGAAAAAATCAGTCAAGTATCACATGTACAGATGCCTCTACAGAAGTCAGGTGTCCAGTCTCTTTCAAGCCAAAATCGCATTAGGAAACAGAATAAAGGAAAAGGGACAAGGTTACAGCAGGCCTAGGTAACTAATAAGAGCTGAGCAGATCTTAGCTTTAACAAAATTGTCAAAGCACATTGTCTTTGAAGTTTTCCACGTAGTGCCCATAGCAAAAATTGGGTTGAGAAAAGGAAGAAAACACAACTTTAAAATTGGAATAATTAAGTATGGTTTTAAGCTGTCTCATCTGTGGCCTGGGAATGAAAGGAAGACAGTATCACGAGGATATATATATATCAAGATATATTCATGCTGTGGGTAAGAGGACATGAGGATGAGCCGTTTGTTATACAGATGCCAAATTATATTTATATGAACACCCCCTCCTACTATGAAAAAGTAGTCCCCCTTGCAGCCAAAGGATATATTATTTTCCATGTAACAAAAAAGTAATCTTTTTCTATTTGGTGTTCTATTTCAATTCTTTATTATGTTATTAGAGCAAGTATAGCAGTTCAGTTACTCATCTAGTCATTTTAGAATAATGGAATGTGATGTCATGGGAACAATTCTGGAAGGTTTTTAAAATTTGTGGGTTTTGTTTTTTGACATACAGTAGCAGCCTATTTAAAATATGTAGACATCTATGAACATAGCTGTAAATCATTCTCCCATTGCTGAATTGCTGTCACTTGAGGATTTTTCATTGTTTAAGACTCATATATAAATGCCATTTTGCTTAATTTGTAACATTGGATAAGTATTCAAATTATTTTAACTTTTTGTTAGGATTTTTATGCTGCTTTATTATAAGCATTGATGAACGTTTTAAAAATATTTCTGTCTATTGTTTGGTAATGATAATGGAGCATATTGGGAGGAGAATAATTCACTGTTATTACTGCATTGATTCATTAGTTAATCATTAAGGATAGATTTGTGCTTCTTACTGTTTTGTGCATATTTTACCTTTGTTAAGAGCATTAATTGTCACTGTGTGATATCCTGATCTTTTTAAAATGACAAATATAGAGCTACCAATTGAAAATGGATATTTATATGAAGTACTTTTTCTTAGATTGTATGCAATGTTGTAATAATTTATAACCAAGTTCTAACAGAATAGTTTCATGAGTACATACTGAGAAGTAAATACCATAGAATTTAGTTATATTTTAGTCACACCACAACAATATATTAATCTTACATGTTCTTTCATTTCTATTTCTCCTTCATAGAATTGGATCTATTACTATGTGAATCTTGTTTTTTATATACGTAAAATGCATGCATGCTATTGGCATGTTATTTGTAATTATAATTTATCCTTGACATATCCTGGAGTAGCACAATTAGAAAAAATAATTTAGAATTTTTACCTTTGCCTATCCTCTCATAATTTTCTTGAGTGCAATGAGAGGTTTTAGCATGGTTTTAATAACTGTACCTTTGTACCTCTAATTTAAAATATGCTGCAGTCTTTATCTTATGAAGATGAACAACCTGATAACATTGTAATTTTCTTTTTATAGTTAAAGAAGTAAAGCTAAAAGAGCAAGTTGTCTGGGGCTTCCTATTAGTTTTGTGGAAGAGCTGGGTCCTAATGTGGATTGTCTGTTATCAAAAAGAGTGGGGTTTATTAGGCGACGTCATTTAATAATAGAGGAAAGAAGAGTTAGATAGTTTGAAGTTACTTGCAAATGTTTAGTATTTTGTGCATGTATGTGTGTTTGGTCTGATACAGTTTTATGTTAGAGGAGCCAAGCTAGCGCTTGAATGTACGAACTGCCATACTGAATTAGACAAAGGTGTTTATAATACAGATTGTTATTCCAACTGTTACTTCTAACTTGAGACCTAAAAGTTGTGTTCCTCAGTAGTTGAAGACTGTTAATTAAGTGAAATACTACCTGGGTTATTAAATATCAATGATGATAGCTAACTTATAGTTACTGAGTAATATAGGATTGCTTTGTCATAAAAATATTAAAACTCAAAACAATGAATTTATAAGTCAATAGTGTCCTTGTATAATAAAGACTGATACCAGCCTCTGTGCTGAGGTGTATGAACAGGGACAATTCTCTGTTACTGTACTTAGGATATCAAAAACAGAATCAATATGTGACACTTTGGTGTTCGTTGAAGTGGGTATATCTGTTGCTTAATTGATAATGGGGTAGATTAAAATAATATTTTTAGGGGTTCCATATGCAGTCAGATTGTATTTGCAGCAGTTTCAGTGTTGATCTTGTTTCAGAACACTAATTAGACTACCTGTTCATTTTTTAATCTTAATTTCTCCTCACCTGCTCTCACAAACTAATTTTCATACTATTTTCCTCCTCCTTAACACTTCCCTTCTAAACCCTTTCTCAGGGACCTATTTTAATAGGAGTCCTTGGGATCAAGAATGCTAAATCTCATTATGGTACAAAAGTTCACAGCAGACAATTCAATTTTCTCAAGATGTTGAACTTCCTGGTTGTGCAGGCGATAAGTTTATCAACAATTGACTGCTTGTGTGTTTAGCGTGTCTTTTCTCCAGTTCTTAACTACAGCAAATGTTAGAGTAATTCTTTGAAAATGTTTAGTATATTTCGTTGTAAAAAAATATACTTCAGTTATCATAGGGATATTAAATCAGTACAGATAAATTAGCAGTAGAGTAGAAAAATCTTCTAAAAACTTGGAAATTTAGAAGATGTTGCAAATTCTCATCAAAAATGTGATACATTTGGTTGTTATGCAATAAAAGATTTATTATTTCTTTATTTTAATTTTTAAATAACAGCGTTTTTCACTACAATAGAAAATGATCAAGAAACTTTAGGAGCTGGGAATGTAGTCTTTTCATTAACAGTTTGAAAAC